CACAGAAAGCATTCTGCCATTCGTGGCGAAATTTATCAAACATGGTAGATATTCACCGTATCGCCCCGAGTGACTAAAATCTTGCGTAAAGTTGCACGCACACGGAAGATATTTGCTTAAGCAAACAGCCACGAATGAATTTTGCTGAGCTGATAGCTCTCGTGTGCGCCAGGCTTAAAGGCCACCCTTGGTGAGCTGACTACTGACTATGACTTTTATACTAAAAAGCAATTGTCTAAAAATGAACATTGACAATGTCCAAATCTGGACCCTATATTTGTTCAATCAAAACAAATACGTAATCAATACCCATCAGAGATGGCGAACCACATATTCTGCTTCTAAGACCCCTCCCCAGGATTAGCAAGAGGAACCCCCATTTTAATGCACGACCCGTTCGTAAAAATGACACAAAAAATATATTGTCATCAGATATCATTGCACGCAAATTATGTATTGTTTATATTGCTTTTTTATATATCACAGCAATAGAATCGGATGCAGTCAACATTTTCACTCGATATCTGGGCCAGGATGCACCTAACCCGATTGGAATCCCGGATGATCTCAGATTAGAAGTAATCCGTAAGTTATTGACTTTTATGCTGTGTAGTCGGACTGTATTTTGTTATTATTCAACAATTCTGTCTTGATCACCTGCTACCTCCACACTGATGAGGTGTGCATGAAACTTCCAAAGAGGTACATTTTTTGTACAAGAATAAAAAAGCTGAAGACCATTTCAATTTCAAGACATTTCTTATAATGATGAATAGCCTGTGGCAATTGAAGCACAATTTGAGGACTTCCGGACCATTGTGATCACAATTTGACGTAGTTACAGGCTCTGGTCATTTCTTGTACACTTTGATTATTTCTGAGCAACTGGCTGTGTACACCAGCGGCCATATATTAAGCAATCAATGACTCTACTTACGTTGGGTTTTATTCTAATTTAGACTGGACTAGACCAGCTCTAGTGTTAATAGTACTTGATATGTTATATGGGTATGTACCAAAAGTACTCTAATTTAGGCATCATTTTTGGCACATTTCAAAATTGAAGAGAATCAAATTTATGTTTTTGGTTGTCATTCAAAATACAATGTTTACAGTGACTAGAATGAATGCCTCAGTCATTAATGGGTAAACACCTCAGCAATGTCCTTTACTCAAACAACTAATAGATTAATTTTTGCTTTCAGGTAAAATATGCATGGAGGATGGACAGGTTGACCCTAATTGTTTTGTACCTGTGCAACATTTTGTACAGAAACATATTCAAGAAAAGTAAGTAAAGTATCCTCTTCATTGTTGAGTGAATGCACTCAGAAATAAATTTTCAAAATATTTATTTATTTAAACAGTGTAAGTTTCTTAGGATTCTTTTAAAGTTTAGGGTTTAAAAACACTTATTAATTTACTATATATACCGGTAATATAATTTGACACCAAAATCTTCACCAAGATTAACAGGTTCAAAATTATTGATGTCGTATTCAAACACTTCCCTTTGTGTACATCTTACGGAGAAGCACGAGTTCTGTCATTAAATGCAAACATTTACGTTTGTTGCCATTATTACTACAAGCTGAATGTATAATAATAAGGTCATCACGAGAATACTACAAAGTATGCCCTCAGGCAGCACAGGAATGCATCTCCCTCGACTATGCATCATTCAATACAAGCATTCTTGTGATAACCTTGTATTACTGTATTCACTTTATGAGAAGAGTATCTCTATCTCCGTTGACAAAAGATATTTTTGTTCTTATCAATGCTCACTATAAACCAATATGTACGTTGTATAAACCATAATCTGGCAGGAATTAGCAGCACGTTATAATACTGCATGGCGTATATTCCAACAACACAGATGATTTGCATAAAGACTAATTGTTTCTGCTGATATTTCAGGCTGTTATTGTTTATTCAATTATGACTACAAGCAGTATAATAATAAGGGTATTGAGAATACTGCAAAATATGCACTCAAGCTGGCTGGACAGAATTACATCAACCTCAATTACATGTCAAAAAATACTGATGTCATTATGGCTTTATGTCTATTGTCACGATAACGTTATACTATTATATCCTTATATGTTTACTGAATTCAATTTGTATTATCTCTTGTACACAGTTATTTTGATGCATTCCTGCAAAGTGATTTCCATTGTAAATATCAAGTTGATGTATTGACTAGTGGCAGTGTATACTTAACAGACATTCTGTACAATCAAACTGCCATGTTTTATTTCATGGAGGTAAGGTTAAACCATATTTACTGTGAGGGAGAGACAAGTCTTCATCTCCCTCATGCATGTAGTTATAGCTGTGAGTACAGCTAACAGGTGCTACAGATTTACATACTCATTTTACTTACAAAAATATTGAAGAATTTTCTGGAAGTTTTCGAAATTACATGTATAAAATATATTTAGTTTTATCTATCTCAGTAGTCTTAACTGTAAAATGTTTTGTTTTCTTCGCAAACCAAATATAAAAAGCAGTGAAAACACTATCATTAATTACCATTGACTTAAATATATAGCAAAATTTTCATAATGTTTTTATGCAACTAATGTAGTGGAATGCCATGGTATTGCCATGCTATGTTTGACTTTAATTGTCTGCTGAACATATACATGTACACTTTCATGTTTCATTTTCAGTATGCGGAACAAGAGGGATGTATAGATCTATTGCAGTTTGGACGG